AATATAAATAATATAAATATATTATAATTAAAATATAATAAAAAATTTATATATTATAAATATATTTATATGTAATATATTTTATATATTAAGAAACTAAAAAATATGTTACATTGCTAATAAATGAGTTCAGTTAATTACATATGTCTTTGATATTTGTTAAAATATATATATATATACAATATGTATTACATATTTTACCTGGATAATGCAACTACGGTTGATACTGCATGATACATCGCCTGTTTTCCTCTAAGTTAGTCAAATATAAAAGAAAACATTCTACAGTTAGTATTTGTTCAATTTGTTAAACATGCCAATGATTTTTCTGTGTGTTTTTTTTCTTTTTTTTTTTTTCAATCTAATTCATCGATATTCAACATTTGTCAACCCTTCTTTTAATCATGCATCATTCTCATTACATTTTTATTTTTCCAAACAATACGACGATTAAATTCGAAATCATTTCAATTATATTTACTGTAATATTATTTTGATCAATACGTTAATTATAATTCACAAATTTATTATACATCAATTGACAATTAATTTAAACATAATATCATTTAAACCATTTTTTTTTTTTTTTTAATACGAAGAATCTTTAGATTGAGATAATATTTCTATAATAGTAATAATAATAATGATAATAATAATAGATAAAAAGGAAAAAAATAAATAAAACAAAAAGACAAGGCACGAATATAATAAACAATTGTACTCACTTGTCGGCAGGTGGTGAAGTTGTAGGTGAGCTTGTTTTCAAACTTTTAAACGCTTTCAACCATTTGTGTTTGGTACTTCCGGTCGAACCATTTGACATTTTCCTGCTACTCATCCCATCTGGTTGACCAGCCTCACCCCCACCGAATAGTTCCTTCTGCAAATGAACGTACTCTAGTGCATATTGAAACTTAATGAACTTAACTGTAATCCTAACTTGTTCCAAATTTCATCCTATTATTATTCATTACGAATATTTTTGTTTTTGAAAAATCAAAGAAAAGAATCGAAAAAAAAAAAAAGATCCAAGTGAACAAACATTTTTCTTCACGTGACACGCATACACGTATAACAAATACACACACACATACGTACGTATATATATAAACACTTGAAAAAAAAAATGATAAAAAAAAAGGAATTTAAGAATTACTGATTTTTTTTAGAACGCGTTTTTTTATTTTTTTTTAAATTATTATTTCTACACTTTCATTGTCAATGAATTTTCACCATACGTACTTTCACCGTACTACTGCTAATTCTTGGCTCGGTCCTTTTAACTGGCGGCTTTTTTCTCTCATAATTTCGTCTCCTTATTTTTCCTAGGATCATCTTTGCGACGTGTATTATCTTTTCTTTTTTTTTTTTTTTTAAATTGATAACAACGAAATAAATCGAATGACCGATCAAATCTCTTGCACCACCACCAACCAACACCACCAACACCACCACCACCTCTGCCTTCTGCACCGCCTTTT